AAATTGAGTTCTGTCATTTCTGATGGACTCCCATTTTGGGGCAGAAATCCTTCAGATCAGTGCCTAAGCATGTGCCTGTTCCTTTCCTCCACTGAATTGCGTTGGGGTGGTGTTACTCCAGACCCTGAGATCAGGCATCCCTTCTTGTGCAGTAACCTTACTCCCCTTTGTACTGACGATGCTTCAATGTTAGGTCAGCTACAAGTTTCATGCTAATTCCTGCTGGAATCACTCAATGAAATATTAACTCCCAGATGGCTATTTGTCAGCTGATCCATTCGTTGCCTGATGGGAGCCAGCACTATCAGGCTCTGGGCATCTCGAGGCAGGGGGTACTCGCTTTGCCATAAGCAGCGGAGCAAGGGCTCCAGCAGATGGGATTGTGGTTGGTGTCTCCATTTGCTGTGAAAAGGGGAACTGCTTTAGGCCACCCTGGGCTGGGGATGGGATGTGGGTACCGTGCTTATTTGCAGCCCCCTGGAGCAGGAGCTCAGCTCTGTCTGACAGACCTAGCAGGAGCTAGGTCTGTTCCAGGGGCAGTGACTTGAGGTGGCAGAAACCAAGAGATAATTCCAGAAAAGGATCCTTTTTAATAAGGCAATTTTAGCTTAAACTGTAAAACTTGGCAGATGCTGAAGACAAGAAGTCTGGCTTGTCCAAACACAAGTGGTTACTGCTGTTGTCCCAGGGCTGCACCAGGAGGAGTGCTGGAAATTAACAGGCTGAAACCGTATCAGAAACTAGGCAAAGTGGGTTAGCATGGCGATGAATGGGAGGCTGCTCTCCTGTCCCGGCAGAGCACACCTCGGACGGTGCAGGATGGTCCCGTTGCTGCCATGGGCACGATGGACACGCCGGGCTTGGGCTGCACTGCAGCGTCCCTTCCTAGTCTCCCCTCTGACGGGACCTGTCCCACAGGCTGTGCCACCGTCTGATGCAGAACACATGGTTGTGAGGTGTCTCGGGTGGCCCTGGGTGTGATGTTTAGGTTCTGCAGCCACTCAGATCTGACCCGTGACTAGTCAACTTTGGGTGAAGCTGCCTGTGTGTAGGTACCACCTCAGTTGGTGGTAAACGTGATGCCTTGACTTCTTTTACAGTCACTGGAGGCAGAAAAGAGTTTCGTCTTGCTCTGGGCACTTCTTATTTGACAGGTGAATTGCTCTGGTTCAAATAAATGTGAAGGCAGAACTGGCCAGAACTTTGTGGTGATCTGTCTTAGTCTGCTCTTGCAGCCAGCTTTCTAAAGGAACCAAGAGGTTTTTAAATTCAAACAAGCCAGGTTTTATTGTAATATGAGCGAAAATACTTAACAGAGATATCTCAAAGAGACAGATCAGATCAAATAGGACGAAAAAGGGTTTATTTAACTCTCCCCTGTCTACTTGCAGAAAAGAGTGTTGCCTACAGGCTTGTCTTTAGTTGTCTGACTCTGAGGTGCGGAAAACTCTGCACTGTCTCCTTTGAATCCAGGGACGTTTCTCCTTCTTCTAATAGTGTGTGCTCCTGTGGTGCAGATGTCCCAGCACCTCCTGCCACATCTTCTGAGCCCAGCCAGCTCTGAATTCCTGGTATCACTGTGGACAGAACCTCGATGAAGATTTGTCTGTGAGGATGGTGGGGAAGGATGCTCTTAAAGGACCCCCTCTAAGAAGCCCAGCCCTACATCTTCTCTGTGGCTGTCCTCACAGCTGGTGGTGGCTCTTCGCTAAGGACTCTTGGACGTCCCACCTCCAGGCCATGCCCAGCTCCTCCAGGTAGTGAGCTCCAGCCCTTTATTTCCTCTGTGGGCTTTTCCCTTTCCCCATAGGCAATGGTGCATCTCCCCAGAGTCTGTGTTGTTTTTATCCAGAGTGACTCATGGGTGCAGTTCCCTAGAAATCCATGGCAGAGAAGCCTGTGGTGTCCTTGAGGTTGGGTCCTGCTGTCTAGAGAACCCAGCAGCACCCCTCTTTGCAGCACCACAGCCTGGCTGCCTTGTGATGCCTCTGCCAGATGATGGAAGGAGTATGCCTGGAGGCAGGGAAGACCTAGAGGCCGTGTAGGAGATCCAGGGGCTGCAGTAACTCGAGGTGACTGAGGTGTTGCTCTGAATGCATTTGCAGTGCCAAGCTGTCTGTGCAAAGAAGGTCCTGTGGTGCTGGGGGGAGAAGCCCTGCAGCGTTTGGCGGACGATGATCCAGCAGCAAAGAGGCCTCATGGTCTGATGTATGGAGAGTTATGTAAGCTCTGAATAATAACAGAGCTGTTAAATACGACTTCTCAGGGTTGAACGCAAAAAAAAACAACAAAGCAATCATCCTGGCAGGCACAACAGGAGCTGGAGGAAAGCAAAGCACTGTGAGGGAAGGATCTTCTTGGTGGCTTGAGCTCTTCCCCAGCAGCAGTCAGAGACAAAGCTGTGTTGAGGGTCTGAGCTGCAACCTTCCCCAAGGGCCAGAGCTTGTGCCAGGCCTCTGGTCTGTCTCCATTCTGCTGTACTTCAGGGACTTGCAAACTGTTACCACCAACCTGCTGTTGGAAAGGGGAGCCCTGTCCTGCTTTCAGGTTGTGCAGTAGAGTGGGAGGCAAAGGAGGGTCTGCAAAGCACCAGGGCTGTTGTGAGGATGGAGAAGCCAAGGGGACTGGTCTCCTTGTGGTGTACTCCTCTAGGACACAGCTAGAGGTTTTTTCTCAAATGCATCATATCTAAAAGTATGACTCCTCCCCAAGAAGAACCTGCTAAAGACCTCTGGGGGTGTGTGAGTCTTGCCCAACAAAGCAGTAAACACAACCGTCCTGCTTCCAACTGGCTGAGCCACTGGTCCCCGACACCCTTGGTGCATCCCTGTCCCTGGGGGTACGCACACGGCATGGCTGTGCTGCAGAAGGCATCGCGGAGGCTCAGCACTCTCCCTTCCACCCTGGGGGAAAACTCTGCCGCCTCCCTGCAGAGATGGAGGCCGAGTACCCGCTCCGGTGAGTTAAAAAACATGAAGGGATTGTCACTGGATGGTCATCATCTCTAGATGGGTTTGGTTCAGGCCAAGTCATGTTCTCCCAAACTGTTCCTGGATGAGCATGGGGAAATTTTTCTGGACAGGGACCACGCTCAAGAGCAATTTGTGCATTGAGCTCACTTGCGGAGGTTGAAGAGAGTTTGATAGCCTGGATATGGGCTGGGTGATGCCAGCTGACGTTAGTGCTGGAGAACAGTCCTGGCCATATTTAATTTACTAGTACAAAGAGACATTGTGGCTGGACAAGCTGTAGAGCTGGGCTGGTGAAGGGCTTGGTGCCAAGTGTGGAACGGTGCCCGCTGCACGGAGCAAGGTGTGTCCGGAGGACTCGCAGGAGAAGCGTATGGACATCGCAGGCTCCTCCGTATGGAAGACATAGACTTCTCCGTATGGAAGCGGGCAGATGACACAGTCACAGCGATGGTTTGAGCACAGAGATGCACAAAGGGGTAGGCTTTTGTTGTGTATGTGGCTTCAAGCATTTGTGTCCCCTAGGACACAAGCCCAGTGTCCTTGGCTGTGCCCGATGGGAGCACACAGTCTCGTGCTCGGCTCAGCTCCGGGACTGAACACGCCATGGAGATGCTGTCTGGAGAGCGCTGCCATCTCCAAGGTGAGCAGAAATGAGCAGGGGACCTGTTCGGTCCAGAGACAGCCCGGGAGCTCAGCGTTGCTGGCTTGAGGGCAGCAGTTCTGGTGCTTGGCTGTTTCTCTGTGATGGGCTGAAGCCATGTGTGCTCCTCCCCGATTCCGGGAAGAGGATGGTGCCTTTGCAGCTGTTTGTTCTTGGGAACTGACAGTCCCAGGAAAGCTGCCAAATCTCCGGCTGATGGATGAGCCCCTCTCGGAGCCTGAAAACCTTTCAGACAAACAGAGTGGAGCTCTTTAGGGAGCTGCATGTGGGGATAATTCAGAGTGAAGGGGCAGAATTGAAAACAGGATCACTGTAAAGGGTAGTGGCAAAAATGCCTCTTCATGTGCATGGGAGTCCCCAAAGCTGTGCTGGGAATAGAGTCTGGGAAACTGGGTACAGGGAGAATATGAAAGGAGTTAAGACACAGTGAAGATGTGAGGCCCTGACACAATGGGGAGGCAACGGGCCTTAAGAACAGGCAATAAAATGGGCTAATTCAGAATGAAGAGAATGAAATGATTCCTGTCATGGCTAGAGATCTGGGGAGCTCCTGGCCACAGTGTGCCACTAAACAAAGTGACTTGGGAGTTGAACATCATCTTCTGTGGCGCTGTTTGTGGGTCAGTACTTTCAGCAAACGTGGAGGTACCTTCAGCTGCTTTCTCAGTTGAAAGGCACCTTAAAGGGAAGCCAAATAACCCCAGACGCATCAGGGAATTGTGCCTGCTCACCTAAGCAGCGTTACTTGCATCCTGAGTTTTCTTGAGGACCATATTGCACTAATGAAATAGCCATAGCAAGATGCATATGTGTCTCCCCTCTGTCATTTATGCCCTGATGGCCTCAGAGCTGGTGCTCATGTTGGAAGAACAAGTGGAGGAAGGACTGTGCAGCTGATTTGGCTGGGGAGCACAAAAGGGACACTGCTAATGGCACCAGGAGGTCTTTGGGTTGGGGCCATATGGCCCATGTGGGACTGGTGCTGTGTCCCTTCCAGAGAGGAGTCTGAGTCACACAGGAACCCAGTTCTGCTGCCAATCTGGTAGGAAAACATGTACATCGAGAGCCCAGCAGAGCGAGTGCAGCGCCCCAGGCACAGCCAGCTCTTGTGTCCTGCCTGGCCAGGGCATGAACTATCTCTTGAGTACTTCAGCCCTGGTGTTTCCAGTTCTTGTTTACGTGCTTCCCTATTTAACGAATAGTTCTGCAGCTAATTACTGATGGGACTATTTATAGCAACCTAGTTCTCCCTAATAGGTCTGTTTGCTGCTCCCTGCCTGCACACTCCTTTGATATAAATAGAGAGCCAGGGAGGTTGTAAAGCTGAAAGATACAGTGTGCAATAGGAAATACCAGGGAAAGGGATGGATCCTTCTCGCCCCAGGGTCCTGCTGTCCTCTGCTATGTTACACCGTCTTTTGTAGACTCAGCCAAGCCTGTTGTGGAAGGAGTGGCTCTCGGAGCCATGCTGGACCTGACCATGCCTTGCTATGGAATGGAATCACTGGGGAGACCATCAGCTAAGGGCCCTAGCGTGGCCAGAAGAGGAGTTTGGATCATTGCCACCAGTGAAACCAAGACCTGTAGGGATGCATGTGAGTCTGTAGCAATGAGACCTGGGTGGGATGTAGAGAAGCCAACATGGGTGGGAGAAGGGAGGCAAGAGGGCGACACACCTTGGGATACGTTGTGTGAGTAGCAGTGCTGAGACCTGGGCAATCTCACCTCCCAGGGAGCTCTGTACCAGCAGGAGACCAAAGCTGAGGACAGGGACAACGGTGAGTATTTCTGCAATCACTTTGCATTTCTCTGGCTGTTAAAGCAGCAGCATTTCCTCACGTTGCTTCTGCTTAGCCAGGGGCTGGCTCCCATCACTTGTGCATCCCTTTTGCTATCAAACTGGAATCCAGAGCCATCCAGGGTGGCTCTGCTCCAGGGTATTTAAAAAGAGATAGGAGCTTTGGTTTCCAAAGTTTTCCTGGTTTTGTAAACAGCCAGAAAGAAATACTTGACTTAGCATGGGGGTTAGTTGAGGACACTGTGGATGGTACCAGTCTGCATGGACTCAAAAGGCAGCTGAACAAATTAATGGATGAAGAATGCATCAAGCGCCGTTAAACCTGAAGGTACCATCTCGGGCTTGGGAAATCCCTGAGCTACAGGTCAGTGGCGGATGAGAAAGCATGCCAGGGATGCTTACCCTGTTCTTTCACCCTTCCGTTGCTGTCTGTTGTTGGAAATGGTGATAGGCAGACCAGAGATGGCTGTTTTTAAATTCTTCTAGTCAATTACTAGTCCCCATGAGCCACCACTGCTTTAAAACCAGGATTTTGTCTCTGCAGGAGCCCCTGTCATGCTCAGTTCACTCCTAGTCTGCTTCTTCCACTGTTGCTGTGAACCCCCTTCTCCCATGTCAGATTGAAAACAGGAATGAGCCTGAGTGTTTGAGAGAAGAGAATGTGTTATCTGGGCTTGTCTGGACACACAGGTCTGCATTTCCAGATGGCCTCTGATGAGGGGCACAAATGTCAACAGATTGGGGTGGGTTTCCAGAGAGTTTGTTCCTGCTGCAAGTCGTTCCCTTGTGCACAATAATTGCAGACTTATACCTGACTTTGCTGGAGGTGGGCAACGAAAATTGACCCCATTTGAAAATGGGAAAGCTATTTAAGGAACTGTGACTCAAACAATGTACTTTAGGATATTCTAGCATATTCCTCTTTGCCATATTTAAAGAGCTGGAATAGCAGATTTGTTTCATCCCTGAAGAAGATGCTTGTTTCTGAAGTTATTTCCACAAATTAGAAGCATATGATGCTCTATCAGTAATGATAATTAAGTGTTCTCATAACGAATTGCAAACTTAGCTGTTCCATGGAACTACTTGTAAGAGAAGGAATTACAGAACTCGGTAAAAGTTAGTGGCCCTGGCTCATTAGTGGCAGAAGATTGAATAGTGAATGTACTTGAAGCATTTGGTACCGTTTCCTGAAAGACAAATCGTTAGTGTAGTCTGATTCAATTGAAAATAACGCCAGGCCTGGGTGAGGTCTGTCTGCGGGCTGCAAACCCATGTGTGATGAGCTGGAGCTTGTGGAAAACTGCAGGGACAAAGGCTGTTGCTCAGGAAAGCGAGCGCAGGATGGTGCTGGCCGGGGGGTGTCCCCGAGCAGGGGTCCGCGCGATGGGAGGGGGAGTCCTGGGAATCCTCCTCAGCCGAACAGCGCTCTGCTGCCTGCAGAAGCCGCAGGTTAACCAGGTTTTTGCTCAGATCAGTTTCCCAGCTTGCCCTGAGTACACAGAGGGTTTTTGCCTCTCCACCTTCCCCTGGCTGGGAGCGATGCCTCGAGGTGCCAAGTGTCAAGAGAATTACTGCTGTTGGTCTTGGGGCAGCCAGTGCTGAGAATAAGGCTGTCCAAACAATGATGAAAACAAATCGCATGCCCAAAACGGCAGAGCTTTTGAAACTTGAATCTGGGTTTGATGCTGGGGTCTGTGGTTGCTGAAGATTGGGTGGGACGGAGCCTGGGGGAAAAAGTGTGACTCTTCACAGTGTTGTAGTTTCTGGACACAGGCTTTACACCGGTCCAGTGTCAGCAAGACGGCAGCCAGATCATTGAGGAGCTCTGCCGGTGTAACCTGCCTCTCTCTAGTTTCCTGCATGTTTCTTGCTTGTTCCGTATTCCCATGCCAAATTCTTAAAAGCTCTGCAAAAGGGTGATGCTTGCAAGGCCATTATCGTTATCACTGGAGTAAATGAGCAGGCGGAAGCTCTAGGAGTTGCCAGAGGGAAGCTCGGTGGTGCAGGGACTGTGCAGCTTTTGTGGACTGGACAGCAATGCAAGTGACCGAATTGCTTTGGCACGGGCTGCCACAACCCCGAGACCAGCCCTGGAGCCAGGAGCATTTGTTCCATGCACAGCAGTGGATCCTTTCCCCCACTTTCAACTCCAGACCCTGGGCATCCCCTGTGGTCGGGCTGTGGATGGCACTGAACTGGGCAAAATCTTTGTCCCCTCCTTGGGTTTGGGCCATCGTACTGTGCTGGGTCTGAACTGCAGGGAAAATGGCTCAGCTGTGAGAAAAAGCTGCGAGAAAGTTTCAGTCGGTAGCTTTCTCCCATGCACTGGTTGGACCCACATTTCACCTCATGCCCTTGCCCTTGGTCCTTGACTGAGCTACACGGTAGGTTTGCCTGTGTCGAGCCCCGTACCCAGCTGCTCCTGACCCTAACCCGCTTGGTTTGCCCTTCTTGCTTGGGCTGTTAGGGGAGCATCTCCCTCGCCAGTTCGGCTGATGCCCTCACTTGGCTTGTCCTCACCCTTTTGCTCCTGGCTCACCTTCTGTTGCCCCTCGAGGGGTGGTGGGCTGGAAGTGACCAGGATGGTGGTGGAGAGGAAAGCAGGGCTGGGGTGAGCATGTCAGGATGAAAGAGGGACATGCTTTTCATAGAATCATATGGGATTGGAAGGGACCTCTGGAGATCATCAAGTCCAACCCCGCCGCCAGACTGGGTCTACCTAGAGCAGGTTGCACAGGATCTTGTCCAGGCGGTTTTTGAATGTCTCCAGAGAAGAGAGTTTCCCACATTTCTGGTGCTTCCCTCGGAGCAGAGGGATGCTGCACCAGGTAGCTGTGAGCTGATGGCATCCCTTCCCCTGGCTCCTGCCCAGTCCCCGCTCCTCCGGCATTGCTACTTCTCCTGCCTGTCTGCAGGCGATCTGCAGTATTTCTGCTGGATGTGTGCAGGGACAGGGGCTGGGCTTGTGCCAGCAGCCTCGCCCTGCTCAGGCCAGACAGCGTCAAGGCTCTGCACTGTTGTTTAAGTCGGAGTCTGATGAGAATGTGACTCAGTTGGCATTGGAGCCACAGCATCAGGCAAAGCCACAACAGGCAAGGGCAGCTGCAGCTCCGCTGGCTCCGAGGTGTGATGCTGGGGTGGGATGGGAGCGTTATCCTCCCCTGCTGTTCCCGGGAGCCAGCAGAAAGGACCTCAATTTGTCCTGCAGTGATAAAGCATCGCATCTTTTCTGCGTGTCCAGGGAAAGGCCAAGGATAATCTCCTGCTTTTGCAGCTCTTCTTGGCCCGACATGTCTCCCAGCCCTTTGCTCTGCAGCACTTGTGGTGTGGCAGCAGGAAGGAGGGACCAAACGCTACCTCTTCATTTCCTGGATAAGTAGATAGCCAAGGCTTCTACTAGGGGCTGGTACATTGTGGTTAGCCTAGTCTGTGCCACCCACACTGAGGACTTTCAGCACAGCTCTGAGTGGTGTTTCTTATCAGTGAAATCTCTTTTGGGGTAAGGAAGGGCATGTCCCTGGGATGAGCTTTCTCTGCTGCTCAATGTCTTGGGTACTGCCTGCTCTTCCACAGCTGTCCAGGACACAGCTCGGGACAGGGTCTTGTCTTGGCTCCGGACTCCTGCATGTGCTGTTCTAGTGAGACACAGATTCACTGGAGTCAGCCCTGTGATGACAGAACTTACTCTGGATTCAAGTCCCAGCTGGGTTTCGGGACGAGCCTGGGGTTCATAACTGACCTTGTGCCCTAACTGCTGTGCAAAGAAAACTAAAGCTGCAAACCTGCGGAACACCCGGTGCTTATCCCATGGTCTGGGCAACCTCCACGGGGTGTGTGGCCCCTTGGGGCTTTGCTTGCACCAGGCAACGCTGATGGAAAGGGGCTGGTGCTTCTGGAGGTGTCATCGCCTACATCCAGACCATCTGGGGACAGGATAGGAGAGGGAGAGACATCAGTGGTGAAGCAGCAGGGCACAAGATGAAGCTACGATGGCATCCAGATGTGCTGACCCCGTGCTGCCCAACACCCAGTGCTGCTCCGCGGGAGTCTCACTCCCTGTTTCTGTCCACCATGGGTGGGAAATGAAATGGGTTTGTGTGGTGAACATTATCACATTATCAAATCATCCCAGCCTAAAATTAGTCCTTAATGCAGGAAGGGGAAGGGCTTTGCGATGTGGAGTTGAATCAATAACACCTTGTCTTGATCTCGCCATACCTTGCTGTGGTTGTCCTCAACAGCAGGAGTGACACACTGCCCACGCTCCCTTTTGTTTAAGCAATGTCAGTATTTGGCTGATGATGTTGAAGCTGAGATCAATACTTACCAGGTTTTATAGTCTTTCATATGCCAGGGAAAAGAATGCCATTCCTTCTGTCCAGAAACAGACAGAAAGACTTGATGGTGAAGGAGAGAAGAGAGAAATATAGCGTTGGGATAAAACTGATGATAATCATGAGATGCTGTAAAGGAACAAGGGGCGCAGGCTCCTCAGTACCCCTCTTGCTTTCTGGGCTCTGTTGTCCCAGCAGTTTGAACAATGAAGTAGGATGGGGCCACGGAAATAATCTTTCTGCAGCCTTGCTGCCTGTTTAACTCTCAGCTGGCTGAGCGTTGCTTGGTGTGTTCATGAATCCTCATTAAAGATTTATGCCCCTCTTTAGAAGTGCCCTCCTTAAGCAACTCTTATTAACACAAGAGGTAAAGCCCTTCAAGGAGTGTGAGCTTTCTCCTATAAGCAGGAGAGGAATTACTGTTGTAGCCTGCAAAGAAATGAATCTTGCCATGTGAGTGCTGGGACAGGGCTCCCTCCCTTGCAGTCCGGCCCCTGTCTGAGGGAGCTCCGGCTTCTCCCACCGTTGGCATGAGGTCTTCAGGGCAGGGGAGATGTGCCAGAGCCTTGCATTACAGGAGGGAGACAAATGAAATAGTTGATGGAGAAAGATAAGCAGATGGTGAGGGTGGGGAGGAGCCCCCAGTCTGAAATCACCAGCTTAGCCATAGAACAGCCCGTTTTCCCAGAGGGTGCAGTCCTTCCCCAGGTCTCTCCTATCAGGCCGAGTCTGGAGCCAGTAAAGGAAATAGATGCTAATGGCTGGAGAAGTGCCAAGCCCTGATTCACGGTGCCCTCGCCTGCCCTGCAGCCATCATTTGAATCACAGCGGTTTGCTATTTGAAATGAAATGCAATGTGAACCAAGAGGGTTTTCTCACCTTCTTCCTTCTTTGCTTCCTCTTTGCACAGGTTTGTGAGGCCAGGACATCCTGGAGAGAGGTGCAAGACTTCCTGCATCCTTTCTTATAGGTAGCAATGGCAGGGGCAGGAGGGGCAGGGCACCGGTGCCTTTGGGGTTGGGAAGCCTGGCATTGCCAGGCAGGGCTGTCTGGGGATCTCACTAGCGTCCTTGGGGGTGTATGTGGAAGGTTGTGTCTGTCCTCAGCTGTGTGTGTCCTGTGTGAGCAGCTCTGATTTAGTCCCGTCCAATACAAGATGTATGTAAATGCACGGTCTGTGCTATTTAAATGGTGGGAAGACGGAAAGTCCCTTTGAATATTTACGTTAGAGACTATGAAATTTAATCAGCAATATTAACAAGTGAAGAACCCTGCTGAGATTCCCAGTGAATAAAAAGGTTTTGACAGAAAACGAATAACCTGACAGTAGCCGAGAGGGAACCTAGAGTAAAATTGCTTCAAAGGCAGTTAGTCCAAAAAGATGCAGGAGAGAACTCTTCCTTTATGGTGCCTTTAAAACAAAAGACTCCTGGGAACAGCAGTTGCTGGTTTCACTGTCCTGACTCCCCTGTAGGACAGTGCATGTGTGGAGGTGGATACGGGGTGTCCGTGCCGTGTCCTGGGCGTGCAGAGCCCCTGTGCCCCACAGCGTAGGTAACAGTATGTCTTGCTGGATGCTGTGCTTCGCCCTCTGCTCCGCCAGTGTCAGGATTTTCAGGGTGGTGCAGCGTGTCCCTGTACCACTTGCTGCCTCTTTTGACATTCTTCATGCATGCTGTGTGCTTTGGGTGTGTCTGGGGTGTTTGTAGGTGCAATTTTTCCTGAGCTATGTGGAGGATGAAGAGCATGCATGGCTTGAGTGTTGTACAACTGGGTACTATGGTGTGGAGCTGGGTGCGTTGCCTGCAGACTGAAGCCTGCTGTTAGCTTTGAGGTGGAGAGCTGTGCGTGGGTTGGGAGCTATTGGCTTCTGTTATGCTTTTGCCATAGTGAAGCAGTAGATGAGGCTGGACTGTGGCCACAGACATATACAGAGAGATTAAGGCCCATGGTGCAAACATCAGAGGGCTGATCGTGTCTGCTACAGCTGCAGTTTTGACAGCAAAGGCACAAACCTCCTGTGGAAGCATGCAGATTTTGAGATGCATGTTGTCCCTCACTGTCGGCGCTTGGGGAACACCACAGCATATGTACAGGCTATGCCCCTAGGCCTGTGTGGAACTAATTTTCTTAGGTGCTTTCCAAGAGTAGCCACAGAAAGCCCTTGAGGTTGCAAAGCAGCTGATGCAGGTTGACATGCTGGAGATGCAGTCATCTCCAAACTCATCCGAATGGAGCTGCCTCCTGGCTAGAGGATCTCTCTTTGTTCAATTACCAGGACAGGTACATAATAGCTCCTGGCATCTCCATTTAGTTCTTGTGCAAGAGACCAAGCAGAAATTTTCATCTCTGATCTGGCAAGATGGAATCTGAGCCCAGACTTTCCCTGTGCACAGTGACCGGTGTAGGGAAGAATCATCCTCATCCCATTCTCAATGTCTCCATAAAATGTTTCTGCTTCAGCAGAACCACAAGTTTGCCTGAATTTTCACAGCACTAACACCGTCATGATGATGTTTTTACCCCTGTGCAGAATATGCACTTGCTCTGCATGTCAGGAGCAGGATCTCAGAGTATCTCGGCAGCAAAAGCATAATCCAGAAGTACCAAATTGGCTTCTTCCCCAAGAAGTGAACCATGGGCTTCACCTTTAGCCTGGAGATGCTTCTTAACAAATATGTAAAAGGATTAAAGTTGGGCAGAATGCTTGTCTGCATCATAGACTTTTAAATAGCCTGTAACTCAATCTACTACTCAGAGCTGAACATTAAATGGCTACAAATGGAACTGGTGGGAAAACACGACCTCATTAAATCCATGCACCATTCATCTCAGGCTGGATGCAAACAAACCACATGCAGCTAGGACTTCAAGGAAAAAAAAAAAAAAAAAGGAATAACAGAGAGATGCGGTCTCAGCCCAACAAAGGTCATCATCTCTGGTACATCAATTACTCCCTATCCCTACTGGAGCAGTCTGACTCAACCACATGAGATTCTTGGGTCAGCCTGGAAAAAACAAAAATGATATTTTAGAAAAAGCCCCAAACCAACCAAAACAGCACTTCTTTTTTTTTTTTTTTTTTTTTTTTTTATTACAGAGGATATTAAACATATCCTAAATTATACATACATAAGGCTCATTACAAACACATCAGAGAGCTTAGGGCTGGTTATAAAAACATTACAAGGGAAGGCTTTGCAAGTTTGTACGCAGTAAAGAAACCACTGGATAGATTAAAACAGTAAAACTGTTGCTAAAACTACTTAGTGGTGGACCTGTACTCCTTCTCCTATTTGGGACTGAAGGTTGATGTCCAACTTTAGCAGCAACCAGACTGAGTGAACTAAAGCCCGAGAGAAACATTGACTGTTCCAGTCTGTGAGAAGTCCCTCTCTGTGCTCAGAGACAGTGGGGTCGAATAAAAACCCAGTAGTTTAAACTCTTCCATCCCTCCTCTGGTTGAATTTAACCAGCAAAGCAAACAGCTCTGTATAAAATCTTTGATATAGTAAAATGCAGATAAACAGGACACTGGAAAAGGCAGTCCCACAGTGCCACAACACGGAACTGTCTCAGATGTCTGCCTAGACCTGGCACTGAGTCACTGCGACTTGAAAAACTAAAGCAGATTACCAAATACAGAATTAGATTGGATTTAACATGAAGATGTATCTTTCTTATGCTCTTTCTGTATGGTTTTACTATTTTATGTAATCTGATGTGATTTCATGTCTGGACACTCATTTAGCAAAAGGTGAATACCTACAAGCAGCTATTATTTGTTACATCCCAAACAATACACATAATTTCTGATGGATGTAACTGAGGATTTGGAACACAGGTAAGAAACTCAGACCCACCTGATAAAGGATATCAGTAAGCAAATCCCAAATAGCTGAGAGCTGTTTTCAGCAACCATAGAGGATATGTCTACAGAAAGAAATAATTACCATCTTTGGGGCAGAAGGGTGGAGTCAGGACAGCTTCATAGCAAGGAGCGTTCTGCTGCTGAGCCAGCAGAGGATGCTGCAGAGGTTCATCCATGAACCATTGCTGGGTGAAGGTCATAAATACCTTGGATACCGGCTCGTGTGGTTGACTGCTTTTTTTTTTTTCTTTTTTTCTTTTGACATTGGCATTCCAGTAACTAAGCTGAATAATGTGCAGCTCCTTGCTCATGTGTTACTGTTACAGGAAGAAGTTTCTTCATGACTCATTCCCATTTCATACCCTTTGACTGCTTGTGAAAAATACAGCAGACATGTGTAGAGAGGTGAAGGCTCCTGCATTTTGCATTGGAAGAGGGATTCATCTTGCCAAGAGTATACAACGTAAATGTAAGTGCCTTAAATTTCTTTCAGAATTGGGAGCTCTGCAGAGATGTTCAGTTTGCAGATGAGGAAACCTATAATCACTCACCCAGCTGAGGCTGTCTATGTGTGTGCTGCGTGTCTGAACACTCTACTGCAGTCAATGGAGACATGGTCAATGCAGCTGCTGGAGTCTGGGGAGGGATTCAGCCCAACAAATACAATGTCTGGTTTGGCCTGACCTATTTTTGTCTGCTGGTGAGGGATGAGGATACAGGGCCAAGTTTCATTAGCTGAGGCTTTTATAGCCATTTGAAATAACCTGGGGTATCCAAGACATCCCCTAGTCAGTATGGACAGGACTTCCCAGAGGAACCTTCCAGAGATGCTGCTGGACTTGCATCACTCACAGTGCCAGACACTAGACAGACATGTCTTCTTTTGCACCTACGTTACACGCAATGCTCCCTCTTTTGCGCTGTCTTGGGCCTCAATTCACCTGTGCAGTCCATTAAGTGGAAGGCTCTGGGGTCTGCAGCCGATGCCCCCGCCTTGTCAATATTATAAATAGATCTTGGGGTGTGATTTGTTTATGGTAACGTTGATGTCTGGGGCTCAGCTGCTCATGCTAAAGCTTTTGGTACTGAGATGCTCTGGACTATCCTGCCTGGCCAGCGGTGGTCTCAGAAGGTGTACAGTGCATCTCCTGTGGTATCCCAGTACTTCTAACAAAAGCCCAACTGCGCTGTTACTGCACTGGCCTCAGATGATATTTATGCCTGGCCCCAAACAAACACAGTGTGTTCTGCTGAAACCCTGCTAGCAAAGCTACACAACAACCTGCCTTATTGACTCAAATCTTGTGCTTCAGAATCCAGCAGAAATTCTGGAGAACAAGGGACTTGTGGTACTGCAACAGCATCAGCAGCAAACTGTGCCCAAAATGAAAAAAAGGGGTTTAGTTCAAAATTCATGCTCCAAGCTGGTGGAGCGTGCTCTGCCATGGTACGTCCGAGCTTGAGGTACTGTAACGGGTACGAATTGATTACTCCTCTCAGAGTGTCTCGGTCAATCACAACTGCCACCAAACCTCTGAAGTGGGGCACACCATCTCCTCCTGCTTTCCCAGCAGTGCAACCCCCACCCTTGGGTGGGAGTCAACCCATCCATAAAGGCCTTTTTCTTTCTTTTTGATGGTTTCCCTTGCCACTTAAAGAGGCTGGATTAATATGAGCTGCATATTGCCCTGGTCCACAGGACTAGTAAACTCTCTAAGCCACAGAGCTAATGAGTTACTAATTCCTCCTCCTGAGTCACTTCTTGGATCCTGTTTCCTTTCTCTTTTCTGAAGCTGCTTTCTAAAGGACTTGGCCAACTGTGGAAAATCCACCAAACCTGATGTCTGGCCCCATTCAGATCACACACTGGGGCGGACGCGGGACTGACGTGAGCGAGCATCGCCCCGGGAGTGCGCTGGTTACCAAGCCCTCTGAGCAGCGCTGGGGGCCTTGGCTCCATCGCATTAGCAATCCAGGTCAGTTGTAAAGCGAATGCTGATTCTGCTGCCCTATAAAACATCTGAGTATGTGTGTGCATGCACGCGCGCGCCTGGGAATCATCCTGCTGCACAGACTGTCCCCCACGCTTTTTTCTCCCCTGTGTTGTTAAATGCTCTCTTGTTTCCCAATAGCCCGGAGCCTCGGATCAACAGACTTGACTCAGCTGCTCCCCTCCCTGCTCTTCATCAGGTTCCCTAAGAGCATTGCAAACAGATGCCAAGGTGCAAAGTCTATTAACAGAGGATCATGCAAGGAAAACTGAGAGATAGTTGGGCTATTTATGACTCTGTCTTTTGCTGAGGTCAAGCGCTTCTTGAATGGATGTTGTGTAGTGCACCAACCCCCCTCCATGCCCACCCCCTGCCAAATTCCTACTGTCATGGAGCAGCGGCAGTGAGATGGTGGAGATGCACCCCATCATTACATGGGAAAGAGGTCAATGGTTGGTCCATGTAGGCTCTGGTTCTTACTGTGAACCTTCTTCCTGCACAGACTTACTTCTAGCATGGTATGTCACTAACATATCATAGTTTAAGCTCAGGGCTTTAGAAAACACAAAGGATTTCCATGGGGAGCATCCCTGTCTCTGGCCTGGGAGCCCAGACTGGCTGGCTAAACAGTGCTGTTTGGCCTCAAAAGTGTGTCAGGGGCTGCACGTAGTCACTTGACGTTGTCCCTTTTGGAAGCCTCTGCTGAGAGTGACAGCTTGACAGTTCTGTGAAGCGGTCATCTGTCTGGAGGAATTAAGGGAGATTATTTATTTATATACTTCTACCACGAATAACAGGAATACAAGCACTGGCATAGACTCCCTCCCACGTGGAAGCAGGTAACTTGGCAGTCTCAGCGGAGGAAAGCCAAGCATTGTAATAGGTATTCCTGTTCTGCATTTTAAAAGGAACAGGAAGATGTTTCTTGATAAAAGAGATAATGAAATACTTTCTCCTCCTCAAGTAAGGAGATGGGATGTGAAGTGGCAATTGTTAAAGATGAACTTATCTAACCGCCCCCCTCCATTAGATAGCTTAAACCCAGTGCTAGTAAAAGGATCAGCTGGGGAGTTCTCCCAACAATTAACGCTGAACTGCTTTAAAGATCTATCCCAGTCCATCTGCATTCCTGCACACCTCCGGTCCTCTCCTTCCTCGTACTCGTCAGCCGTTAGCAGTCTCTCTGGTGCATAGATGTGATTACATTTCTGTAACTAATTTGGCAGTATGTGTTCAAACTCTCAGTCTTCTGGAGTACTGAGAGCACCACAGTCCCACATTCACGTAGCAGCAGATGGCACCGATTCACAGCCGCTGTGGTGAAACAGGGACCTCCACTCTGGTCTCAGCCCTAAGCAGTCTGAGCAGTTTTCCTTCTGGATGGTGGCACAGGTCCGGGTGTCCAGATGAACAGAGGGTTTAAGGTTCAGATACTTGCTGCCATCAGCTCTCACCCCATTTTACACCACTGCCAGGGAGAGCTGCTAATTCCCGTCCGTGGATGTGTCAGGGAAATGCGTTCGCTGGGAAGTCCCCATGAGATTTGGGAAGTCTGGGGAGGGATCCAGAGGAACAAGTTGTTGGAGCGAGGTGGAGTTGTTGGAGTGAGTCCAAGAGAGGACCATGAGGATGCTGTGAGGGCTGGAGCCCCTCTGCTGTGAGGACAGGCTGAGAGTTGGGGGTGTTGAGCCTGGAGAAGAGAAGGCTCCAGGGAGACCTTGGAGCCCCTTCCAGTCCCTAAAGGGGCTCCAGGAAAGCTGGGGAGGGACTCTGGATCAGGGATCATAGGACAAGGGGAAGGGTTTGACACTGAAAGAGGGGAGATTTAGATGAGATCTCAGGAAGAACTTCTTTGCTGTGAGGGTGGTGAGACCCTGGCCCAGTTTGCTTAGAGAAGCTGTGGCTGCCCCATCCCTGGAGGGATTCAAGACCAGGTTGGAGGGGGTTTGGAGCAGCCTGGTCTGGTGGGAGGTGTCCCTGCCCAGGGCAAGGGGGTGGGACTGGGTGATCCCAACTCAAACCATTCTATGATTCTGTGATCTTTCTGATTCTATCTTGGATCTTTTTTACTGGATCCATTCCTCAGTGGCCTTTGTGTAGCTCAGCAATCCCCAAATAATGTGATGGAGATGGGTCCTCCTGGAAATGCTGGGTGACCATGGGTGCCTGTGGAGCTGCTCAGTGTGGGCAGCAGCCATCCTGGCACTCGGGATGAGCGGGCAGAGCAGCCACGCAGCCATCTGTGGAGTCACCATTGCAGTCCCGGAGGATCGACATCCACGTTTCCTGCTGGTCTCCAAAGTGGGGGATACCTTGCAGGCAGAGGCATGGCAGCGTTGATCTGTTGCCCAGTCCAGCAGGGGTGAAGCACATGCTCCAGGTCTGCTCTGTTCTTCACATCTGGAATTGCACCCCCCACCCGTGGTGGCACCCTCTGCCGGTGGGGACGGCCCAGGTGTGTGGACATCTCTCCCTGTGGGTGGGTGCGAGGGCGGTTGATGGACCCACGCCAGCCTGTGTGGGAGGAGGTGGGGAGGACAGGCCGTGGGCTTCCCTCCTGCATTAGGTTTTCCTGGTCGAGCTTTGCGTGAATGTCCCTTAGCAACCACATTGGTTCCTAAGTGTGCTTATATTCCGATTTCCTTCACTAAAACTCCCCAGGAGAGGTCTGTTTCTGGGAGAGTCTCTCTTACAGCCAGGTGGCTGAGCTGGGCTTTCTGTCCCAGCTGGAGATGTGTGTAGTGGGGTGAGGTCTCCGTGCAGCTCCGTATCATGTCCTTGTGCAGATGGGCGAGGTGGGCAGGACTGAGCCCTGCCAGGAGGCCCTAAAGCATGCAGGTACACCCATGGTGCATCGACCAAGTCCCATCCAGGGGATGCTCGTGCTTGGAACACCTTCTCTGGCAGGTTGCTGCAGTGTGTCCCAGTGCCGACAGCCTCACACTAACTTCTGTATGAGGATGGTTTCTCTATGGGTAACTCTCAGTCATCAATCAATGATGTTCTTCTAAAAACACTAAAAGCCCCTGTGGTTTTGCTGCCTGGGGCAATAGCCTGTTTCCCTAAACAGTGAGAATCCTCTGTGCCGTGGGAGATCTTTGAACTTTCTACACAGGGTCACAGTAAAAAAAAACAACCGACCTCCCTTATCTGCCAAGCTATTTGAGATCAGTTTAACCCTGTGATTTGAAAAGTATGGAATTCCCCAGCCCAAAAGTGTTTTAGAAAATTTAAATGGATTTAGGCTTATCATTTCAACCTCTGAGAATATATTCGGCACAGCACAGAAATGAACAATTGTCATGATTCCTTGCAAGGCAATCCCAGGGCTGCTGTAACATCGTCACCTCTGTGATGCTGCATGGCATTAACATCTTGCCAATGGTGCAAACTGCACTGACACTGTGGCTTTTGTTACAGCCAAGGGGAAACAAGCCGCCACAATCTCACCAGTTGACTCCTGGCACCTCGTGCTTTCAGAGTAGTGCTGAGGTCAGGTTAGTGTTAAAGTTTTCTGAAACCCCGGGAGAGATATTCACCAGCTTGAGGGAGGAAAAGGCTTTGGATAAAGCTCATCTAGTGCACCTGTGGGGAAGCACAGGTACCTCTAGGCACTGCATTTCTTATTTGTTGATCTGAGCCTCGCCTTTACTCATCATTATAAAAGATCGAGCCTTTCCTGCTGCAGAAACAGTTCCTGAGCTGCCAAAAGACTGGACTAAGCAATGAACCAGATTCTGTGGTTGATGAATGGGAAGAGATATGTACTGGATGGGATTTTCCTGCCTTAAAGATGTGTCTATATCTGTGTGGGTGGCCCCAGGCTGCTTTTGGAGTTGAAGGTGCAGGTTTATTTCTGCCTGAAGCTGACATCTATATTGGGGAGGGGGAGGAGGACTGGCTCACACTGGCCTCAGTGAGCTGTTTCCAGTTAGTGATGGTTTAAAGGTGTTGAGAGCTCAGCTGACTCTATGTGTGCTCATCCAAGAGCACAGTATCCCCTTCTGCCATCAACAGAGGGACAGAGACCATAAGCAGTGAGATGCTCTGGTGATCCTCCCACTCTGGCACTGAAAATGGTTTGGCTGTGCCTGAGCCTGCGGCCCCACACTTCCCACCGTGGGTGGTTGTACCTTGCGAGGGCACTGGTGACGTGCTGGGAGCAAGAACAACTCTGATTGCTCCAGCTGACCCTGCTCTGAGCAGGGGAGCTTGACAAGGTAATCTCCAGAAGCGCCCTGCCAACCTCAGCCTTTCTGGGTTTGTGCATTACTGTAGGGACTGGAGCAGAGAGGGTTGTTGGGGGTCAGGGATAGGGAGAGAGCAGGGGAGGGAATGAGCAGATGGCAGCTCTAACCCTGGCGTGGGGAGCATATCTTCAGACGGAGAGTGAGGAGGAGGTGGTCAGTGGTAACATGTGAAGCTCCCGGTGACTTTGCTATAGCAGAGAAACCTGTGAGAGTCATGCCATTAAGGACCGTTGCCATTTCACGAGGGCACAGCATTTTTTGCGTGCCTGGTGTTGTCTCCTCAGATTCTGACATCAGCTCTCTCTGATGAAGATTTGCATTTTCAGCACTGAGTTGTTTTCATGCTTGGGCCCTCACTGCCCTCTCACTTCAGATGAGTCCCTTTCTCCGGCTTAGATGCAGTAACAGTGGAATCTACACTGATGGAGCATGTTAATGCAAAACTTCCCTGCCTGTTTGCACCTTTTCCTGGAGCAAATCCAAGGCTGCTGCAAACACAAAGGGATTCATCACTCTCCAGCTGTCTGCAGACAGCAAACCAAGAGCAATGTTTGACAGTGAGGAATAATTACCTTGCCAGCTTTGCTTTATCCACATTTCAAATTCAGAAGGGAGATAAAGCCACATTACCAATGGCTCAAGCGAGGATCCCATCAAGAAGAGCATCTAGTGCAGTTGGAAGCTCCCTCATCCTGGGAGAGATGTGCTTGTGGCAGCTGGGTGGAGGGATGAGAG